AGGTAAGGTCAAGGGACAGGCGGAGAGGGATGGACAGCTGTGAGGCGCGTGTCGTCAATGGGTGTGTGTGGGTTCGTTCCACGGAAATGCTTTCAACTTTGCTGAACGTTTGAAATTGTTCATGAGATATTGGGACCAATCATTTTTAAAAAATTAGAATTTAAGTAGTTTAAAATGGCAGCCCTGCTATAGGACCGGGATTTTTATAGTCTTTCATAAACATGAAGATAAATGAAAAAAGGTAAAACAATTTGCCTAATTAAAACCAAGCACCAGGTAACATGAAATAGCAAACCAAAGCTGGGCCCAGGGCAGGGCTTCCTACCCGCCTTCAGCAACCCGGAACCCAGTATGTGCCGTCTTTCCTTCTTGGCACACTCCCTCATATCTCCATTGTCCAAGTTTGCTTTTTTGTCAAAGAAGATATACATAATAAGTAGCGGCTACGAGACTTCTCCACCACGGTGCCAGGCCTCCTCTCACTCTCTGGTAACGCCACGTGAACCGTATGTCAGCAGCACTGCAGTCTGATAACGCTGCCGGTTGACTCCTACGTGGCCCTCTTCAACATTCATTCAGCAGAAGATTCCCAAACAGCGACTGTGTGCTGTGTCTCAAGAGGCTTCCGATCTGGGGTGGGAGGCAGAGCAGCAGGCCCGCACAGTGCGTGGGGAGGTGACAGACACACAGAGGTCAGGGGCTCTGATAGATGGGCGAGGCGAGCCGTGAGCTCCGAGGAGGGAGGGCTTCCTGGGTTCCCGCATTCAAACCTGATGATGGAGCGCAGAAAGAGCCTCCAGGAAGTTGATGCAGTTTTACCCCAACAATAGCTCATTTTATTGTGTCACACAGTGGACTCTTTATACCTACTGTGTGTGATTTAACTTTTGATATATGAGGAGGGACTCAAAAAACCCAGTATTGATTTAAAAAATGGCTTATTTACTCTTACAGATTTAAACTTCAGTCACCTTCGAAGTGGAGCTCTCCGTTTGATGCAACGCACCTATCAAGACACACTTTCCACTGCTCCAAGCAGGTTTTTAATCGACTTCAACGCCTTTTAGTGCTTCTGCCGTTTTTTGTTTCACCTCTTCCACCTGGGCAAAACATGGCCCTTTGAGGACATTTTCATCCTGGGAAACGAAAGTTACTCAGGGCGAGATCAGGTAAACAGGGAGGGTGGGGTCCCAGGGTCGCGCTGCTTTTGGTCAAAAACTGCTGAACTGCTGAACCCTGCACAGTGTGAGCAGGTGCACTTGTGAATCACCCATCACAAAAGGGGCAAATACATGCAAAGACTCTCCCCCCAAAAAATTCACTGAAGTCAAGCAGCTTCTCACAACACTAGCTGGTACATTGATGCCAATGAGTTCCGAGAATAATTACCCAGCAGGAAAGCCTGTACTACAAGGGGCCCAACCTCCAAAAAAATAATCCTGGGTTCTTTCTGGGTCTCCCTCATACGTTTAAGAGATGGACACAACTTTTGCCATGTTATGGATGAGATTCAAGGTTAAAACGGATAGCTTGCTTTCCACCAGTGTGGTGGGCAGCTCGGGACGGAGCATGCGGTCTGCCCCTGAGCCCAGACCTTTAAAAGCACCACTCTCCTTATTGACCATGTTTGTGTAAAGCTTGCGGCACCTTCACCTCGAGTACCCATCACACAACAGCTGACATTTGCCACTCTGGCTTACCTGGAACCAAACGGGAATAGACTCTAAGAGACACGTTACGTCTGTGATGTTTACTATAGCCTCACGCAACTTACTCAGTCTCTGGGCTCGGGACAATCTACCAAGGAGATATCGCACATGGCTGGAAGAACAGGGGCCTGGCCGACAAAACTCCAGGCCCAAGGAGGGATTCCCACCCTGTCATCTGCTGCAAGCCTGCCTGATCAGACAGTAGCCCGACTTTAGGGGGGAAAGTGGCCTTGACATCCCCCATTCTTAGGCTTGCGGTGTGACCCAAGCAGCCACCTGCACAGGCTCAGGAGAGAAGCCCCAACTGTCAGCTTTTGCTTCCACCTTCCTTCCCTTCTCCATCCATCTCACCCCACGCCACGGCTCAGGGCCCTCCCGAGGATGCCTCTGATCCCACAGCCAAGCAGCAGGTTGGGGCTCTGCCAGGAAGCATCAGCCAGGTACAGGTGTTTTGGTGACTCCTGTCAGTCAGGGCTGCGACCGACAAACCAAACTGGGCCATTTGCAGCAAGCCTGGCTCTGCCCTAGGTAGGCAGGCACACAGCTCCCCACCACCGCTACACACACACACTTGCAAAAATTCTTGTAAAAAAATTATGTTTGCATACATGTGCCACATGCCATCCCACATCCCACTTAAATCAGCTAAATGGCACCTGAGCTCCTCTGTCTAGTCAAAATGACTAGTCCCAGAAACGGGTGCAGACAAGGCTGCCGTGCAGGTGTGGGTCCGTACTGCCTGTTTCGGGTCTGCAGGCCACCCACCATCTTCTCTGGGAGTGGGCCAGTGTGCACCAGCGACTCCCTGGAGTCAAGCGACACCTGCTCTCGGGTCACTCTTCTGGCCCTGGTGAGAGAAATCACGAAAGACCTCCAAGCTGCTTGAGTTAAAGTCTCCATTTATTTTATTTTATTTTTTTACAAAAATCCAATGTAAGACCATTGTGCTCATGACTGGAAAAAGGGGGTTAGGGTGGATGGACGTGGCACGGGTATCAAAGAGCGGCCCCTTCTCAAGCTGGGTGCTCCCAGCACATACACCCAGGCAGCAACGGGAAGACGGCCTCCCAGTCAGTCAGCGAGCCCCGGCTCGAGGCGCGGTCCAGACGGAGAACCACCGCCAGGCAGGCGAAGCTCGGACAGCCCGATGAGCGCGCGGGGGCATCACTCAGGCAGACGGCCTCTGTGGTGCCGCAGACTGGCCAAGTGGAAACCAGATCATCCTGGGACTGAGAGCCAAGACCAGGTAACTGGTGTTGCCTGTGGCAGCCGAGGAAAGCCTGGGCCTGCAAGTCACAGGGAGTGGCTTCCTACGGCGAGTGGTGCCCAAGGCAGGGCCCTGGCCTCTCCCTCACCACCTCGCAGAGCACTCTTCAGGAGCACCCGGACAGCAAGGTCATGGCCGCTGCTCGGCCTTGCGCCAAGGAGTGCATGCCCTTTTGACGTGGCCAACGGCCACGAGAGCCTGTTTAGAGGCCTTCGAGTTAGTGTTCCTTTCAGAGCTGTCCTTGAGTGAAGCTCTGACACCAAACCCCTCCCTGCAGCACACTGTGACGTCGTCCGTAATTTCAGACCACTCACCTATTCATGATCTACCAAACAACATTCAGAGGCCCAGCGACCTGGCTGCACCACGCAGACTGCCCTGGCTCACCAGGTCCCACCGGGTGTCAGTCTCTGAGTTCCTCACATTAAAAGAAACAAAATAGCAGCCACATTTTTAGCTCGACACACCACACTCTTTGGCTCCCCCGAGGGAAGAAGGCTACTCTAAAAAGAACAGAGCTGGAAGTCAAGGAAAGGTCAGTTAGAAAGTTCAGATGCAGGGAGGCTAGACCCCTTTGCTGGGCTGCTGAGAGCATACCCAAATTTCCCAGGGAACTGCCTCCCTCGGCGGGAGAGCTGCAAGGTGTCCATGGGAACCTCTGGAAAGACACAGCCCTGGGAGCAGCGCTAGTCCTGCCTGCCAATGAGGAAAGTTCCCTTATGCCGAGTTAGCCCAACAGCTGGAGGCAACTACACAAGAGAGCCTGGCTTCAGGGCAATTCCTGTTGAGGACCCATTTGGTACAGGCAGGTCAGTGGAGAATGCACCCCAAGAAAGAGAAGCACAGGATGTCAAGGTCTAGGGAAGACGGAACTGGCTTAAGGCATGTGCATGACCAGGACAGACCTGAGCTTTTGTTCGGTTGCTAGAAACCTTCCATAGTCAACTCCACTTCAAGAAAGTGGGGTTCAGAAAAACAGAAGCCATGAGCTAAATCCCTGACAATTGCCACTAACGCCCCCCCCCCCCAGGCCCCCTACTGCCACCATGACTCAAAAAAAAGTTAGCTTATTTCAGTTTCAGCCCAGGGAACAGAAATCTAACCTGGGAGTGGAAGATGGTCCTGTGGGGTGTGAGTGCCTACTGAACTCCAAGGCGGCACTTGGGCTCACCAGCAAACCACAGCCTCCTGTTGTTCCAGTACATACCCAACCTCAGGGGTCCTACAGCCAACCTGGCACTAGTGGTCCAAAAACCACAGGTCACAGAACGTGGAGGCCCACCTGGAGGGACAGGTGAATTTCACCAAGGCATCATCCCAAGGCAGGTGCCTTGCTGTGAGACTTCCCGGCCAGCCGGGAGATCCTCAGAGGACGCTCATTTGTCCTCGACCAGAAAGCGTGGCCCGACCTGCAAACCACGTCAGACTACACCTGGACGTGCACCCTGAAAGTATTCCTGTTCACTTATTCAAGAGAGAACTCAGGAAAGCCTGAAGCCCGAAGCACAGCACGTTCTTTATCAGGAGGGCAGGACAACAGGAGCCATGGGGGAGTGCTGTCTTCAGACCTCATTCCTTCCTTGTTCTTCTGTCTCAGACAAGGGAGCGAATGGGACAAGCATGGCCTCAAGATGAGTCCTCCGAAACCACTGACCCCAGCAAAGGGAAGCCCGACTGCTCCCAGGGCGCAGGTCCTCCCAAGAACTCACACGAATGGGGCTACCGATGGCCGAGGGGGACAGAAAGGGAGGGGAGCACACCACAGAGCTTATCTTGTCCAAGGCCCGTCCCTTTCTTGTTTCTGCACACATATGCCCTGGGGAGGATGGGAGATGATCTTCAAGGATACGCCAGGTGACACAAGGCCAGGACCCATCGCTGCCAAAATATAAAACATTGGGAGCCTGATGGGTCCCTTACTCAGAGAGGCAAAAACTTCAAACTCCTCCTGCCAAAAATATATATATATGTATATGTATGTGAGTGTGTGTGCATATATACACACACACATATATAAATAAGCCTTGAATGGCAAATCTGAAACTTTCTCTTTTTAAATAATAATAATAGTTGTTACTGAATTTAAAAGCCACAAACCAGCTGTCCTGGGCTTATGAACTATGTGAGTGACTCTCCAGAGTCCCCATGGTCCTCAGTGTAAGCTATCAGTCAGTGCCCTGTGTGGCGAACCCCGGGGTCTCCTGCCCAGGGCTCCAGGCCCAGTGTGGCCGACTTCAAGATCGAGGCAGCCGCTTCCTCCCACTCTTCCTGCGGCTGCTCTCGGCTGAGGATCTGGGCCACCCCGCCAGTGATGTCCCCAAGGTCCAACGCCTAGGAACCTCAGGCGCCACCTCCCTCACTCTGCCCATCCTCTCCCCCAAATCTGTATGTCCCTAGATGAACTTGAAGCACTTGGTCTTGTCATGGGGCAGGCGGGTCTTGAAGAGCACAGAGTCCACCCGGAACTGAGTGTACAGGAGGGGCATGTAGCCATACACCTTGACAAAGAAGTTGATGCACTTGTGCCGCTCATGAAAGTGGGAGTCATCATGGGACAGGGCCTGAGGACATCCTGGGCACCGGAAAGTCCACCGCGAGGTCACCTGCAGACAGAGAAGAAAGAGCGGGTAAGCGTTGCGGCGCTGGTGCTGACAGAACCTTTGCAGCTCAGCCAGGCCCCGGGGAAGACGCGGCTCCTCAAGGGCGACTTTTCTGCAGAGCGAGTCAAGAGCCAGTGCCCCAGCCCAGAGCTCCCTCTCTCCAAGTATGGATCCAGAACATCTACAGTTCTTTCCGAATACCTGCACTCAGTAGAGAGCCAAAGCCCTACGACGTCTGGTGTTACCTGTCCTGCCACTTCTAGTATTCATCTCGGTTGCATAGCAAGAGGTGGAAACAAAGTTGCTCATTTCATCAAAGTTTGCAACAGCAAAATACTGGAAAACTACCCAAACAGGGACTAGTTAAACTAAACTAGTTAATTCTAAAATACTATACATTCACTTAAAAGATGTTTAAGAAAATTACATTTAAAGACATGGGGCCGGGCTCGGTGGCTCAGCCTGTAATCCCGCGCCTTTGGGAGGCGGAGGTGAGTGGATTGCCTGAGCCCGCGGGTTCAAGACCCGCCTGGGCAACTTGGCGAGACCTCATCTTTAAAAAAAAAAAAAAGACATGGGAAAGTGGTTCTATTATAGTCTAGTTATATTATAATTAGGAAATTTCAAGCAATTAGAAAAGAATGAAGAGTAAAATCTTCATATAAACGTAGCAAATAGCTACATATAGAACACCTCAGTATAGAACACCTGAAAATGCAGGATGAAATACATAAACCATCTCTTTAAATATGCAACTATGCTCGCAATAAGAAATGAAATCCTAGCCGGGCTCAGTGGCTCAGCCTGTAATCCCGTGCCTTTGGGAGGCCGAGGTGAGTGGACTGCCTGAGCCCACGGGTTCGAGACCCGCCTGGGCAACTTGGCAAGACCTCATCTCTACAATGAATCAAAAAATTAGCTGGGCGTGGTAGTCTGTGCCTGTATTTCCAGCTACTTGAAAGGCTGAGGCGGAAGGATCGCCGGAGCCCAGCAGGTCAAGGCTGCAGTGGCTGGGAACAGCCACTGCACTCTCCAGTCTGGGTGACAGAGTGAGACTCCAACTCAGAAAAAAAGAAATGAAATCCTCAAAGGCCAAACAATGAAAAAGCCAAATCCTGTGAGATGGCCAGGAGAATTTTGGTTTTTAATGGGTCGGGGAAGTAACACCAGCAAGTCTGCGTGGAGCCTGTGTGGAAACACTGGGACCCAGCAGACAAAAGCATGGGCTGCAGAAGCCCCACAAAGAAAGATGAGGAAGAAATTTTTAAAAAATTTATCTACTAGTTCATACTCTCTTTTTTTGAGATACAGTCTCACTCCATCAGCCCAGGCCGGAGTGCAGTGGAACGCTCTCCCAGCCACCGCAGCCTCAACTTGTTTGACTCTGGCGATCCTTCTGCCTCAGCCCTCCAAGTAGCCAGAACCACAGGCACATGCACATGCACCTGGCTAATTTTTTATTTTACTGTGGAGATGAAGTCCTGGCAAGTTGCCTGGGCTGGTCTCGAACCCACAGACTCAGGCAATCCACTTGCCTTGGCCACCCAAAGTGCTGGGATTACTGGCTGAGCCACCAAGCCCAGCCAATTTTCCTTTCATCTATGTCTTTTTATCCTGTTCACAGAGGTTTCCATATCTAGAATTTTTTTTTTAAATTGGAGTCTCACTCCATTGCCTAGGCTAGAGTGCAATGGCACACTCATAGCCACCCCAGCGTCAACCTGCTGGGCTCCAGCGATCCTTCCACCTCAGCCTGCCAAGTAGCCAGAACTACAGGCACGCACTACCACACCTGGCTAATTTTTTATTTATTGTAGAGATGAGGTCTCGCCAAGTTTCCCAGGCTGGTCTCAAACCCACGGGCTCAGGCGACTTTGCCTCAGCCTCCCAAAGTGCTGGGATGACAGGCTGAGCCACCGGGCCCGGCCAATTTTCATTTTCAGTAGTTCTATTAAAGTCTTTCCAGTCTATTTGCTTTTTTTGTAGAGTTGTGTTCCTTTATGTTTTCAATACCCTTTATCTCTTTAGTCATTTTAGCCCTACTTATTTTATCCTATCTAATGGCTTTATTATTGGGAATTCTTGACAATTAACCTTCCTGTTTGTTACGTCTGTTAACTCTTGCTCATGATCAACTGCTTCCTCATGTGACTGGTAAGATCTCAATCAAGCGCATCTTCAGTGAGGCTTTATCCGTAAGTTTTCTGTGTGGCCTGAGGTGAAGGGATTTCTCTTTACAGCAGTTTGTTGGTTTTATTCCATCGAACAGTCCAAGGGTATCCATGACTGAGGTCTAATTTTCATGCAGCATGCATCCCTAAGCCCACAGGAACTCAGCCTCCTTCTACACTTTTCCTCCCTCCCACCTGTCAGAGTCTGGGTTAAAATAAGCAAGTTGCCCATCATCACTCCGGGGCAACGGGGAAAGGCTTGATTCCACATCTCTGCCTCAGCAGGCCCAGATTCTTTACTATATTTCACACGAGTGATAAAACCCAAACCTCAAGACGACCCAGGTGACAGCAGCCCCCCAGCATGGCCTTCGTGACATCTCACATGCATGCCACCTAGGTTTTAGTCCCCCTGCCTTTCTGGCAATTCCTTGACTTCTCATGAGTCCAGCTATGCACTGAAAAAGCAAAGTTTACTTCTAGTGATTGAGTTTTTAAGTTATCTTGTCTACTATCTCACCAGAACCAGAAAATTTACTTTCAAGTTTTGAAAAAGCAGACTACAAAAAGCATGTAAATTTTAAGAATAAAAAAAACCATCCCCACAGACAGGGAACCAGAGACCCAAAAGAAATATGCCAAAAGGTTTGCATACCTTTGATTTTTTTCTGAATATCTCTGTCTTTTCCTAAGTAATTTTAAAGTTCTTATTACTGCTATAAATTGAGGGGAAACATGTAATAGGAAGGCCCATCCCATAATGTACAACTAAGGAATAATCATGGCATACAGTCAATATTAGCCATCAGAACCCCGTTTCCAGAGTTTAAACTGACAGCAAGCAGAGGCCAGTGCTCATGGGGCGACTCACTCATAACCAAGACCCTGCAGAAGTCATGACCTCCGCAGTCTCCCGTCCCCTGGGTTCCCCCCGCTCCTCACGTCTCCCTCCCTGAGGACCTTCACACTTACAGTCAGCCATGACTCCTCCCACCACTCCTCACTGGAACGGGACACGGAAGTCAAGGATGTGAAGGATCTCTGTCCGGAGATCTACTTTGTTCTCACTGTACCTAAAAACCTTTCCCCTTATCCCAGATACCAGAATCCAACTTCAGGCGAAAAGCCCTTTAACCTGCAAATTTTTCTATCTGACAAAAAAGTTCTGGTATAATTGTTGCTGTCACTGAAGCAGTGGTTTCCAAATTGTCTTGGTAAAAATGTTAAGACTGTACCACAATAGATTTATAAATATATAACTGTATTATATAATACAACATACAAGAAAGGAAATTAAGAAAGATACAGTAACGACTATAATATACACTGAAGAAACTTAACCAGTACTGTAGATTATATGTCACATGGGAAGGTTCCAGGTAACTCAATGTTACTAAGAGAAATACTAGTTTTATGCTTAGTAACAGTAAGGAAAATCCTCAATAGATGCCGAGAATCTATATTACCCTAGAGAACTATGATGTTCACTTATATTTCCCTTCTCCGCTTCCTTATCACCTAAGTCATCTATCTTCTCAAAGCATTCCGGGTGAGTTTTTAATCCTTTATTCTGAATAAAGACTATTCACATTCTAAGTCTTTCTCCTCCTTGCAAAAGTAGTACATTACTCAAAGCAGTAATATGACATTAACTCCCTGCTCTTTAGCAAATATTAAGATATTAACATTACTGAAAGAACACTGCCAATCACAAAAAGAAGTCCAACTTTCCTAATTCAAACGAGGAATGGAATAGTTTAATAACAACTTGAGGTACTTAAAGCAAAAGAAAGTTAATAAAAATATTCATTGAAACTGGTTCCATACTCTAATTAGACTCAGAATTTGAAATAATTAACTCAGAATTTGAAAAAAAATTCTTAATTTGAGCCTTTGATTTTTCAAAAGTCATCCCAAACCTAAATTGAATTCTTCTTGTATTCTAGTAAGTTTGAGAAAATTCACAGAGAATACTTAGTTTTGAAGTTTTCACTTGGAAAGAATCATATACACCGTGTCCAAATTATTTCCATTCCATTCTCTACACTGAAGGGCGGTTTAGCTAATGGAACACTGACCTAATAATATAGTGGCTATACAAGTTTTAATGAAGATAAAAAATTCATCACGTCTGTGAGTGCTCAGGTGACCAACGCTATTATTAGGTACCTAATCATTTGAGTACTTTAAATTTTCATGGATAATGTCTTCTGATCCACTAGGAAAGCATAAATTGAAGGACACATCTTGACTAAAGTCCAGCTCCTGACCACATAAGAACAGAAAACAGGCCAGGTGTGGTGGCTCACCCCTATAATCCCAGCACTTTGGGAGGCCAAGGTGGGAGGACTGCTTAAGCCAGGAGTTTGAGACCAGCCTAGGCAACATAGCGAGACCTCTTCTCTACAGAAAAATCAAAACATCAGTCAGACATCATGGCATGTGCCTGCAGTCCCAGCTCCTCAGGAGGCTGACTGCCTGAGCCCAGGAGATCAAGGCTGCGGTGAGTTGTGATCATGCCACTGCACTGTAGCCTGGGTGACAGAGTGAGACCTAGACTCAAAACAAAACAAAAAACAACAACAAATTTTTTTTTTGAGTTGGAGTCTCACTCTGTCGCCCAGATTGGAGTGCCGTGGCACGCTCCCAGTCACTGCAGCCTCGACCTGCTGGGCTCCGGCGATCCTTCTGCCTCAGCCTTCCAGGTAGCCAGAACTACAGGCGCGCGCTACCATGCCTGGCTAAAAAAATTTTAAAAACCCAGAAAACCGCACCAATCATAAATTTTCAGGACCTTTACCTCCTTACTTCAAAGTTTACAAAGAAGCGTGCTTTTCACTGTTTAATACTAGACCTATCACGGTACCTGGAAAACATACTCTTTTTATATAAATATTTGTGATTATTATCATTCACAGTTAAAAAAAAAATTTGATGTATTATTTTTGTTAATTATTCTTTTGTGAGGCTTTAGCAGAAGTCTGGGCAACAGAAGAAATTCTGGGGCAATCAGGAGTTACATTCAGCATTCTAACAGTGGGCCGTGCATGGGAAAGATTTGATTAGGAATAAATGAATACAATAGGCCCCTGAATTCATTTATCTCTCTTTGTTAGGCTCTGCTGCATGGAACTAGTGTCCTCTGGTTACCACTCTGTTTGCCACTCAAGATTTTTTTTTTAAGAGACAAGGTCTTGCTATGTTGCAAGGCTGGAGTGCAGTGTCTATTCACAGATGCACTCTAACCTCCAACTCCTGTGTTCAAGCGATCCTCCCACCTCAGACTCCCGAGTAGCTGAGACTACAGGCATGCACCATCATACCCAGCTTCTAAAATATGATTTGACTGCCGTTATCAGTACATGCTGATACTTAGTCTAGAACTTACCTTCAAAATGTAAGAAGAATGAAGTATGCACATAATTATTATCTACCTATGGCCATATGACACCCATGAAGATAAATAAGCATTATTTTACAAAATTAAATAACATGCCTTTCTGACAACAATGAAAATAAAACCTTAGCTGTTGGCCTTTCTAAGACCATCAAGTGTAAATCCATGACATAAACAGACAAAGCACAGTCATAAATATTATTCACTTGAAGTGGCAGATTCTGTGGTGCTATTTGTTGCAAGGTCATAAGGATTGACGCTATCCTAACACTCTCCAGGACACTTTATCTTGTTGCCTGAGTCTGCAGTGATGCAGGAAGGGGAAGGGGACTAGGTTTTCTGTGCACTGAGTGTAAAATTAGTTTATTCTGGCCTAAGCCTGCTCAGCGACTCAAAGATAAAAGCAGAATAAAAATCTCTAGAATTCTGAGGTACTTTTGTTTTTGAGCAAATAACTTTAACAGTGCTTACTTATGTGCCAGGCACGATTCTTAGAGCTTTACATATATTAACTCAGAAACTCTTTTATTGTTTGATGGACACCCCCTCCCCCAGTTGGCAATCTGATGAAAGCCATGAACTCTCAGAATGATGTTTTTAGATACATAAACTAAAATACATGGGATACGAAGGCAAAAAGTTGTGCTGAAATACAGTGGTACATGTGCTGTTTTATTAATGCATTAAATAACAAGATCTACGAAAGGTTAATAACTACCATGATGGAAAAGCAGTGACAATCAGAAACAATACTTTTTTGCAGATATTGCAGCAAATGTAAGAGATATAACAAATGTAACAAATACACAGAAATACTGCAACAAATGTAACGTGACATGAAAAAAAATCTGTAATTTCTATTGGTAACAAGTCACAATTACTGCAGATACTCTTATGAACCCTAGTCTGTCTCACCATTGAAGAGAACGCCGAATTCCAGTCAGAGATTAATAAAAGTAAAACCCAGTATCTTTCCCACCCAAGCGTCAAACCCTCTGAATTCTATCCACTGGCTTTAAGGGCAAAGAGCCCTGCATGAGCAACCCATCTAACTCTACAAACAACCCTATGCTGAGGAACATGGGCTCAGCATCCCCACGGCACTCAGGTGGGCTCTGAGGATGGTGTGGCTCCATACACGCTACCGCCAAACAAGCAGATTGATATGCACGCACATACAGCCCCACAGGTAGCAGGACCTCACCTTGATGGGGGGCTTCCGAGTGATGTGGGAGACGAGGAAGTTCATGGCGATATCCTCACAGTTGATGTACTCATCCACCATATCTCGGATGGCCTGGGGCATCACATAAGAATACAGGTAGGCATAATACTGCCAAGGGAAGAAAAAGAATCACATGACCTATTAGAGGCCACAGGCTGTCCACTTTTAGCAAAAATATGCATGGACTGAGGGGTTGTTTGGAAGCCTGTGGGGTGTCTAGGGTATGACAATAACTGGCATTCAGAGAGGTGGGGCCAGGAATGCGAAACATCCTGCAATGCAGATCTTCTGCAGTGAGGACTTATCCCCATTCAAATGGCCATTATCACTCCCTTTGAGAAACAGAGCTTCATGTAATCTCCTTGGTACTTCAGCAGTTTTGAAATCAATACAAAGATCTGTCAGTCTAGGTCAGACACCGCTCAGCTGAACAATATCTACCTCTGACGATGGCAAAATAAGGTAAGTGAAGAAAAAAAAGCATGGCTATCTTCTCAAGCCTCAATAAACCATGGAACCATGAAACATCCAATCCCTCGTTGCCTCATCTGCGGATTCTTGAATCTTCTCACCTTCGTCACTGGTTACTCCCTGCTCCAAACCACCTCCACCTCTTCCGAATTCCTCACATCACCTCCCAAATAGTCGCCCTGCTTTTTTCCCCTACAGTCAACCTCAGCACAGCAGGTGGTGCTGTTAAAACTGAACAACTAAGCATGTTACTACTTCATGGCAGAGCCTCCAACACCTTCCAATCTCGCTCAGGCGAAGCCAGTCCGTCCACAGCCCTACGAGGCCTACCAAGTGGTGTGCTGAAGCCACCCACACCCACCACAGATACTGACTGCGCCATTTTCAGGAGTTCTGTGAGCTTGCTGTTAAACATAGCCATCATTAAAGATGCAATTATGTAAACTTGAAATTAAATGAATTCTATCAAAAGCCTATGCAATAAATACCTACAACTCTTCACTTCTTAATTTATTATAAGGTATACTATCTATTACAGGGAAGACTATCTGTTACAGGATCTTCCATGAGGACAGTGAAGGTGCTAGAATGACAAAGGGCATGGATGGAGACAAAGATAAAGAGCCAGGTGCACTTTTTTTTTTGGATGCAGACAGTGTCTTGCTGTGTTGCCCAGGCTAGTCTTGAACTTGTGATCTCAAACAATTCTCTCTTCTTGGGCTCCCAAGGTGTTGGAATTACAGGCATGAGCCACTGCACCTAGTGGACTGTCTTGATGAGTGTGAGGGAACAATGAGGAGGTTAGTCGATGGCAGGAGCAAGACAGATGGCACAAGCCTCAAATGAGATTTTATGTGACAGCTGAGAGGAAAATGTCCAGACGTGTCACTGGTAAGTAATGAAAACGTTCTCCAAGTCTTCCCTGCTGCAAAGCACAAATTTGGGGAACTCAGCAGCCTCACCAGCTATAGGAAAGGGCTGACTGAGGGAGAAGCACTGTCCATGGAGAAAAGTCAGATTTCAGTGAGGTCGAGGAGGCAGAGGTTCTGGGAAGTGAGGAGTAGAGAGTTTTGGTCACCTCAGAACAGCGTTTAGAGCCTAATGGAAGGCCATGGCCATGGGGGACAGAGCGGCACCACCAACAGAAATGCAACGCAGCCACAATATGTCATTTTAAATGTTATAGTGGCCACATTTTTAGTAAAATAATGCTATATCTCATTTAACTGAGCACATCCAAAATAACTACACTTCAACATGTACTCAATGAGTAAAAAATAGAGATAATTTACATTTTTCTTTTCTTTTTTTTTTTGAGTTGGAGTCTCACTCTGTCGCCCAGACTGGAGTGCAGTGGCCGCTCCTGGCCACCACAGCCTCGACCTGCTGGGCTCCGGTGATCTTTCCGCCTCACCCTTCCGGGTAGCCGGGAATTACAGGCATGCGCTACCACGCCCGGCTGATTTTTTGATTTATTGTAGAGATGAGGTCTCACCAAGTTGCCCAGGCGGGCTCAGGCAATCCACTCACCTCAGCCTCCCAAAGGCGCGGGATTACAGGCTGAGCCACCAAGCCCGGCTTACATTTTTCATAATAGGTTTTCAAAATCAAGTGTGTATTTCACACTTACAGCACATCTCAGATCTGACCAGTCACACAGCCAGTGGCTTCCTGCAGAACAGAGAGGTACACAGGCAAGATGGGTCAGAAACAAAAAAAAGAAGAACAATGCAGAGAGCAGCACAGGTAGAGTTGTGACAGGGGAGTTCCACACTTTGGATATTCAGTGAAAATCAGGACTGAGGCGAGTGGAAGTGATGAGCTCTAAGGCATCATCCAGAATAGCGGGCCACACAGGCTCGTTGTGGGGCTCGGACAGGGTGGTTAGCATCAGAAGAGCACCAGGATCAGTCTTCTGTTGGCCGGGCCACGTCTGGGGTGGCAGTGTTGAAACTGGAAGGTATCTGAGAGGCCTTTTAGCCCAGTGCCCGCAGCTGTACAAAGGGAGAGTCAATGCCCAGAAAGACCAATTGGTTTTCCAAATGGCCTACATGCACTTGTGCACTCTTTGGAATATTCCAGAGTCGCTCTAAGCATCTTGATCATTGTCTCTCAAAATCGAAATAACTGCTTTCTAATATCAAAGGGACATGTAAGAAGCATTAGCATAGCTAACCTGAGGGGAGCACTGCACTGCCATGCAAAGGCTCAACTCTTACCAAGTTGATGCCATTCTTTAAAAAAAAAATTAGAGATGGGGTCTCACTTTGTTGCCCAGGCTGGTCAAAAACTCCTGGCCTCAAGTGATCCCCCACCTTGGTCTCACAGAGTGCTGGGATTATAGGAGTGAGCCACCACGCCTGGTTGATGTCTGGTGAATACCAGCTTTCCTTACCTTGTGAAAGAAGGCAGCACCTGTCAGCACCATGGACAGCTCACAGGAGTAGTTGGAGTTGTAGAGCCAGGACTGATGAGGGATGTCCCATGCATGGTAGCGGCCAGGGAAGCCCACGATGCGGTCCCGGGCTTCTCTCCACACCCTTGAGAAACATAAGTGTATGCACAAAACTCAGTACAGAGCTCTCGGATCATCAGAAACGTCCAAAATTCTTGCCTTCTCTTGCAGAGCAGCTTTACTGCTTTTTTTCTTTTTTTTTTTAAATATCAAAATCAATCACAAGCCAGACAGGATAAAAGTACATAAACAGTGCCATATGCAGCTCTACATCTCTCCAATCCTTCCAGAAGAATATGCTGAAATAACAACAATCTGCTAAGAAGCAAGAAGATGATGGCAATTTCTATTCCTATTTCTTTTCTTTTTTTTTTTAAGATATGGGGTTTCCCGCTGTCTCCCAGGCTGGAGTGCAGTAGTACAATCATAGCTCACTGCAGCTTCAAACTTCTGGACTCAACCAATCCTCCCACCTGAGCTTTCCAAGTAGCTGGGACTACAGGCACATGTCACCACTCTGGGCTAATATTTTTATTTTTTATTTTTTGTACACCTGAGGTCTCACTATGTTGCCCAGATCGGTCTTGAACTCCTAGCCTCAAGCAATCCTCCCATCTTGATTTCCCAGAGCATTAGGATTATAGACGTGAGCCACCACACCCAGCCTATCTTATTTAATTTCTAAAAAAAAAAAGTTTTATTTTTAATGAGCAAGTTCAGTAGGACAGATATGTAATTTATGTATATTACACGCTTAACTTTTTACTGAGAGGGTACATAATAAAAACTTAGAGACCACGGTCTAACCAAGACACTGCTGCCGGAGCAAAGTGCACCAGTCCTAATTCCCGACTGGAGCAGGGCTGAAGGGAAATCCGTATCATGGGAGGAAGTGCTCTACAGAACCGTACAAATGAGGGTTTTCATTAAACACAATTAAAAAGCTGAGAAGTCAGTATGTTTCAGTAGAAGTTCTTGTATCACCTTTCAATTTGTAAGAAAGGGAGAACAAATAAAAGCCATTCCCAGCTTCACAGGCTAAAATTGGAGAGCTGAAAGCACTCAAGCACCACACGACCGACAGGTCTCTGGAAGGGCTTCTGGAGACTTCAACTGCCCGAGGAACTTACATGGAACTTACATGCGTCACTTACATGGAACTCTAATTTCTAAAACACGGGAGATTTCATTTAAAGAGTTCCTCTTCTAATAAGTATGAAAGCATCTCATCTAGTTCAAAAGATGAGAAACCACAACTCCTATCACAATATAAGAGCCTTTTCTAGGTGGGTTTTTCTTTAGACAACTGTTTTTCTAAATTGTGCCAAAATATACATAACATGAAACATACCATTTTCAAGTGTACAGTTCAGTAACGTTAAACACATTCTCACTGTTGTGAGATCATCACAAGCATCCATCTCCAGAACATTTTCACCTTCCCAAACTGAAATTCTGTCCCCATTAAACATGTATTCCCTATTCTTATGTTCCCCCTATCCCAGGCAACCCCCTTTTTACTTTCTGACTCATGAATAACTACCTGGGAACTTCATATAAGTGGAACGACACAAGAGTTACCCTTCTGTGTTGTTTACACTTCTGACTGTAATAAATAATGCTGCTGTGAGAATTTGTGTGCTGCTTGTCGTAGGGATACATGATATGTGCTTCAACTCTCTTGGTATCCTCTCTCTTTTATGAATACATCTGCCTCTTTCTTTGCTACATAAGTACTAATTACTCAAGATCTATTTTTTGCCAGAGGGAAGGAAGAACTCTTATACTCACCTTTTCCTTTAAACTTAGGTCTGTTTTATTCCCATTAAGGTGAAATAAGCAAACTGGGGAGATCAATAAGAACAAGTTTAGGTCAAAGGATGCCCAAACAAATGAGAAAGGAAATCAGGATGAGAAAAGTGAGAAAAGTAGCTAAACCTCAAAATTCAAATGACTGCTAAAAGACACAATAAAAGGCTTCCTGTTGTCTTCTCACCACCTGGAAATCTGTTGGGAAGGGGCATGGAAAAGGTCTAAAGTCTTCCTAAATCAGGGGCTTAGAAGACAGCAAGCGCCATCTCTCCTAATAAGCTTCAAGCTCATCAAACCTCGACTCCTTATCAAAATCATTACTGGGATGCAGGGGTGACTGGCAATTCTGTTCACATCCCATGACTCTGTTCACGGCTCCCAGCCCCTCAGCATGCTCTAACCTGTGACAGACTGCAGTAGAAACACAATCCCTTCCCCACCATCATACAACATCTGCAACAACAAAGACCATTCCTGGACTCACTGCACAGCTTTCTTCCTTTCATAAAAACAAGCAGAGAGAGCTGGCTACTTATTATCTTGTTCAAAGGAATACATCTCAATTTAGCAGGATGTTTTTAAAAACCACAACTTTCAACACATTTGCTTCAATAATACTAGGAGGAGGTCAAATGCAATGTGAGAGATTGGATGGGGACAGGAAGAACAGATGTTCTCATCTGTCAGAAAGGCATCAAATCATTTTTTATAGATGGATTTAAGGTGGATACAGCAGTAAAGCCATTGCTCCTTTCATCTGAGCATCTGTTCTTGTAAACTTAAGCCAAAGGCAGCCTGAGAGTCAAGTAGGTCAGGCGAGGCTCTCAGTGAACAAAATAGAAGCAGAGGGAAAGAGCTCTCTATCCTGGATCCAAACTTAATTTAAAGTCAGGCGCAGTGGCTCACACCTGTGATCCTAGCACTTTAGGAGACTGAGGTGAAAGGATTGCCTGAGACCAATCGGGGCAACATGGTAAGTCCTCGTCTCTACAATAAATCAAAAAATTAGTCAGCCATGGTGGTGTGCACCTGTAGTCCCTGCTACTTGGAGGGCTGAAGCGGAAGGTTCACCTGAGCCCAGCAGGTCGTGTCTGCAGTAGCCATGTTCATGCTACTTTACTCAAGCACGAGTGACAGAGTGAAACTTCAACTCAGGAAAAAAAAAAAACCACACAATTTAAATAAGACCTCAAGGAAATCTACTCCAGTGTTTCTCAAACTATCTATGGGGAAGAACTAATTTTCCCTCAAACTTATTGTAGCTTAATACTCTTGTAAAAACAAAAAATATGAATTTCTTAAATATGGCACCAAAAGCACATACAACCAAAGAAAACATAGGCAGTACTTGGAAGGCTGAGGCAGAAGGATCGCCTGAGCCCAGCAAGTCGAGGCTACAGTGGCCGTGAGCGTGCCACTGCACTCCAGCCTAGGCTACAAGAGTGAGACTCCAACTCAAAAAAAAAAGAAAGAAAAATATACAGCAACAACAAAAAGGAAACAGGCAAATTGGATTTCATCAAAAGTTAAACCTTTGGGCTTCAAAGGATACCATCAAGAACATGAAAGACAACTCACAGAATGAGAGAAATTATCTGCTGGTCCTATCTCTGATAAGGGACTTGCATCTAGGATATAAAGAACCCTTACAGCTCAATAATTTTTTTTTAAAATGGGCAAAGAATCAGAAAAGCCATCTCTCCAAAGAAGATATGCCAAAGGATTACTGGGTCAATAAGCACATGAAAAGATGCTCAACGTCATTTAGAGAAATACAAATCAAAACTATAATGAGCTACTATTTCACAATGACTAGGATGGCTGTAAATTATAAAATGAAAGTGACAGTGCTGACAAGGATGTGGAGAAACTTAAACCTTCATACATTGCTGGCGGGAACATAACATGGTTCCACCACTGTGGAAACAGTCTGGCAGTTCCTCAAAATGGGAAAACAGTTATCACCCATTCCACTCTTAGGTATACACCCAAGAGAAATAAAATCGTCATACAAAAACCTGCACATGAATGTGAGAAACAGCCCAAATAGCCATCAACGCATAGAGAAACAAGATATGGTACAGTCATACAAAATGAATTAAGTACCAATACGAACCACTAGATGAATAAACCTTAAAAACATTATGTTAAGTGAAAGAAGCCAGTACAAAAGGCTACATAGAATATGGTTCCATTTACATAAAATGTCTAGAATTAAGTCTAAAGAGACACAAAGATTAGTGGCTGCCTAGGATTTAGAGGGGCTGGAGAAAAATGGGGAGGGACTGCTAATGGGTACAGGGTCTCTCTCAGTGGCAATGAAGATTTCTAAAATTAACCATGGCAATGACTGTACAATTCTGTAAATTTACTGAAAGTCATTGAATTATATACTTAAATGAGTGAATTGTGTGGTGTATGAATTATATGCAATATATGCTCTAAAAAAATGAACTGCAAGAAAAATGATCACACACTTGGATGTCACAGTAAATGTCAAATTGCTTTAAAAGTTCCTAAATGCTTACTCTCAATTTTTGAAATTACCTCACCATGAACAAGTAACAAACCGTCCTTGAACAAACATACCAGTACACAGTAGCCCTAATCTACTCCATTCTCTTACCCGCCATGTGCCCTCACATGGGATGCTTACACCCTGACATCAATGACTAGGATTCAAGCAGGAGAGTTGAGTGGCTGAGTGGACGTTCTGGAGTTAGACAAACCTGCGTTGGAATCCCAGCTCTGTCTGCCACTGATTTTCTAGCTCCTACCTGGCTGCTCTCTTGGATCCCAATTTACTCCTATTTAAAATGGACACAACCAGTCAGGCTCGGTGGCTCAGCCTGTAATCCCGTGCCTTTGGGAGGCTGAGGTGAATGGATTGCCTGAGCCCGCGGGTTCGAGACCTGCCTGGGCAACTTGGTGAGACTTCATCTCTACAATAAATCAAAATGAGCCAGGCGTGGTAGG